CTTGAGAACGATGATGCCAGAACAGGCAAGTTCCCGACAGGTGGACTTGGGGAGATAAGGGGCATGGGGAGGTAAGTTCTATATGGGTTTTATCCACCTGAGGGAAGCGGGGGCCTGTAGGTAACGAATTCATTGGGGAAACAGGAGAAAGACAAGCCATCTGAGGTACAGGAAAGAGATTTCTCAAAATTCCAAGTAAAAAACTGTCCTCTAAAAGAGGAACTAAAGACTCTTCGCAGTGTCTAGGTTTCTTCTTTTGCATTTTCAACTTTCCATTTTTGCACGGCTACTGATTCTCCTGGTCCCAATGAGGGACTTTAAAGAATGGAGGGCAGACAGTATCGTGGGAAAAGAACGTGATCGAATCCATGGCTCCTCTCCCCAGGAAAATCACATAACCCCAGGTTTGTTTGTTTGTTTGTTTGTTTGTTAGTTAAAGCATGCCATGGAAGAAACCAGAAAGGAAAAGAGAGGGTTGGGGGAAAAGAGGAAGTACCTGCCAAGACCCATCCACTCCCTTTTCCTTTCCCAGCAACTGGGGATGAGGCTCAGCACCATGGGGAGGAACTGGGTAAGGAACACAGGTCTTCGGGTTTCAACAACCTTCTCCAAAAGAGGAACCACTTTCATAGAGACAACTGCCACAGAACTACAAGACTTCTTGGTAATACTGCAAATAAGTTTAATAGGCTAAAAATTCTTTTTAAAACAACACCGATGCAGCCCTGATTAAAAGGTTACATACCCTATAAATTCTAATAAGTACTAAGCACCCTACTCTCTCTGTCATCACTACAGAATTAGCCTATTCAGGGAAGATTACAATCTTGTAATTCCTAAAAAGGACCACATTGTCAGACTGCAGAATGATGAGTGCATTTAAATAAAAGTCACAAAGAACAGTAAGTGCTTATAAAAAAACAAACCTATTTTTATAATGTGAATTTCTACTTTTTATGCCAGTTTTTTTTTCTTTCTCAGAAACAAGATGCATCCTCACAAGAAATTTAACAACTGTCTATGAATCTTATGCCAAAAAATGGCAAACACTGCAAAGGATATCATCCTATGAGGACATAATGTAATATGGTACTTATCAAAGGACTGCCTAAGTTTTAATGAGCAGATTCAGTCAGTGATACGCCGATATTTAAATGTGAATCATCGATTGTATAACACGGGATTTAAGTGAATTAGATGATTCCAACTATCTGCATGTAACTTAATTTCTGCCACGCCACCACTGGCAGAATCCTAAAGAATAAAGCATCACCCTCTTTTGTATGTTTGCTCAAGATCTGCTAAGAGGAACTACAAGAAATGAAAATCTGGAGATAGCACAGGAATAGATCAGGCAAGAACTTACAAAACTAAGTGATAATATTTAATTTCTTCACCATAAAGGATTGATATTTACTAAATTTCCTTGGAGATCTTTAAAAAGGGTATATTAATATTTGAAAAATAATTCGATATCTGCCTGAAACACCTTTGAAAAAAGTAGCTAAAATGATAAGCTTCACATTGTAATAACAGGTCACCATTTACTGAAATTTGTTTGCTGAGTATTTTACATACATCATCTCATTTCATATTATGAAATAGGCATCATCATTCCCACTTTATATGTGTGAAAATTAAGACACACATGGTTAAGTTACATGATCTGGGTCTCACAGCTAATAAATGGAGGTGGGAATTGAGTTTGGTTTTATGTGACTCCAAAAGCAGTGCTCTTGTCCATTATACCAGTGCGTCCCAACTGTGCCACCTCATGGCACACACTGAAAATGATAATATTTGTGAGGCTTATTGAGGTAAGCTGGGTATGTTTTTTATATATCATAAAATTATGACATGAAAAATCAAACACAAAGTATTACAGATGATATTAAATACTAATTAGTATAAATCTTCCAAATGAAATATTTTCAATACCAAATTCAGAAAATTTACAGAGGAAATCATACCAAAATTACCATTTCAACGGTTGTAATGAAAAATTATAAAAATGATTTAAAATTTCAAAACTATTTTAAAAGTTTGCAAACAGCACACCTGTTTGCCATCCTATGCACTGCACTCTGATTGGAAAGCTTTGCAAAATATAATTTTGTCTTTCTATAGAGTATTATGATTAAACACTAATCCGGAATATCAAGATCCTTCCAATAACATATCTAAAGGAAATTCAAATAAAAGGTAATAAAAAATTATAACACAGAAGTGTTCCTTAACTAATTCAGCCCACACTAGTTTCTTAGTCTGAATTTCATACTACCTGTAATCTGTAACATTCATTTTGATTTAATAACAAAAATAACTAATATTCACTGAGCTAATACAGTGTACCAAGCTGTGTTCTACTTCACATTATTACGATATTTAATCCTCACAGCAATGCTATGAAATACCTCTATTTTCTCCATTTGAAAAGATGAGGAAGCTGAGAGAGAATTGCGTAAATAACTTTCCCAAGGTTAGAGCTGGTGAATGACAATTAGAACATGAAACAGCCTGACTGCAGAGCCCATGTTGTTAATCACTGTGCTAAACTATATCCCTGTGAGGAAGAAAATACAGTAATATTTAATGAGCACCTATTATGTGCCAGGAGAGACAAGGGCAAGTAAATAGAGCGCAACTTAGACTACACTTGACAGCTTCACAGTGATGAAGTAAAAACGACTTACATGGACATCCAGGAGGTATTCTACAGCAAAAGGAAAATCCTTTCTTTGTATACTGTGATGGGTGCATTTTGCTTATAGAAACAGCAAGGAAGAAAACAGCATTTCATATGTGCATTATGATATGGTTCCAGCAAGAGCATCTGTATCTGTCACCTACTTGAAGTGGTTGATTAAACTTGCTCAAGAATATTAAAAAATCTCACATAAAACAATGAAATTGATAAAAATTGAAAGCAAATGCTTTAGTACTTCGATTTTTACTTACAGCTTTTGAGGTTCCCTAAGTCATCATAGGTTTCATTTTGTTCTTAATTAAATGCACTATTTAAAAGTCCTGAATAAAGATTTCTGTAGACATTTGGACAAGTTCCACCTGTCAACTCCAGCCACTTGGAGGAAAGCCTCCCAGTTTGCAACTGTATTATAATAGGCTCACGAGCCACATGCGGCTCTTTGGCCCCTAGAGTGTGGCTCTTCCTAAGCCTTAGGAGTACCCTAATTAAGTTAATAACAATGTACCTACCTATATAGTTTAAGTTTAAAAAATTTGGCTCTCAAAAGAAATTTCAATCGTTGTACTGTTGATATTTGGCTCTGTTGACTAATGAGTTTGCCGACCACTGCAATAGGCTAATGCCCTGAGGGGATCTCGGATGGGCAATATAAATCAAAACACACACAGAAGACGAGAGACACCTTTAATTTTACAACCAGCTGATCAATACAGACCATGTCCTGAGTATTGTGATTTATATCAAACACCTGAAAAGCCCCACGGAGGAACGTCTGCCCAGGATTAATAGTATTTAAAGAGCATGTGCCAGGGGCCATGCTCATTCCCCAATGATACTTGTTACACAGAGAGCGGCAGTCTAGAACTACAATGTGAATTCATGCTTCCTGAAAGATCAGGTAAGCAGTCTGGAAGCTCAAGCTCTCATGTGTAACTTGCGCCCTCCATCCAGAAAGCTGTTACCAGAGCTTCTCAACCTACAAACCACCAACAGGTTGACAGGAGGAGAGGAACGGGGCACCCAGCACAGCCTGGAGTACAGAATTAGGTGATGGTGGAGCACCTCTCTTAAAGCAACGTCTTTTCCTCAAAAATCAATTGTTTTAAAAAATAAAGTTCTACCACTTACAGAAACCATGACTCCTACTTCTTCTCCAACAAATCCCTAGAAAATACTTATATGGAAACAACTGGCTTGATTTATTGACAAGCTGACGCTAGGGTTCTTTATAGCGTTTACTGAGCCTCTAGAAGCCAGCCTCTCAGACATTTTTTAAACTAATCACGCTGAGTAAAATGCATCTGACTGCACCTAAAAGCCACTTAAAACGAATGTGGGGTAAAATAAACAGCAAGTCCTGAAATCAATGTTTTCAGTTTGAAGGAACCAAAAGAGAGAGAGAGAGAGAGAAAACGGCTCGCCAGAAGCCTGTCCCAGTCTGGACAGTAAATGTGTCTGGCTCCTGAATGGACCCTAAGGTAACCCCGTTCCCACCGCACATCATCCCTACCCACATCCCTACCCACTCACTACTCAGCGGCCGCCAACGCGGGCTGGACGGTCCACCACGTCTGTGGACACCAACCTCAAGCCAGGCAGCCCTTACATTTCCTCGGCTCACACCATCTCCCCTTTGCAAAACCAAGGGAAGGGGTGATAAAACCTTAGGAGGGTAAAAAGGGTGGGAAAACATAGACAGCCTCTGCAACCGAACTCTTCCTTTGTACCGAGAACTTGTCAGTTAGCTCGACCGCACACCTTCGCGTGACTGGGTAAGCCTTCCACCTTCCCTGCTGTTCAGAGGCCCCCTCTCCGTCACCCGCGGGGCCAGCTGCGACCGCTCTGGCCCAGCCCCTCCTTCCATTTACACTCACCACTCAAGCCCCCAGGCTCTGCCCCGCCATCAAGTATCACCTCGCTCCGAAATCTCAAGCCATATGCAAGCCCCCCACACCGTGCCCCGTCCTCCTGGCTACCCACACCCTCCAACCCCCGTGCCAAGCTTTCCCCAGCCCCTTCCCTTCCGGTAGGAGCCTTTCCTCTGCACCCAACACGGTCCCATTCCCCCGCGCTCCCAACTCTCTCCGCCAAAGGCAGCCCAGCTCGGAGTCACACCCTCGCCAGCCCGATTCCCGCACCCCGCCCGGCGGAGACCAGCCGCCGACCCCACCCCCGAGCCCCTGCCCGCCACGCCCTCCGCCCGCTTCGGGGTCCTCCCCGCCAGCCGGCCGGACGCCCCTCACGGCCCCCAAGTGCCCAGGCCTCCCCGCCGGCCCCGCCCACAGGCCCTCACCGAGGAGCAGCAGCTTCACTTCTTTCGCCGCTTTCTCCCCGTCCTCACGCAAGTTGCGGTCGATCATCTTGCTCCGCTCCACCGCCGCCTTGTCCTCGGCGCTCAACGTGCAGCCCATGGCGGCGGCGGGAGAGGGGACCAGGCCCGGGCTCACTCACGCACCGCGGAGACTGCGGGTCGGCCGGCCGAGTCGGCGTCTGCTGCTGGGCGGCGGCCCTCTCGGTCAGCTCCTGGAGCGCCCGGAGAAACCGGATATCCGGCGTTTACGACACTTCCGGAAACGCCCCGCGGCCGTTACGGCTAGAACTGTTCCTGCTGGGGAAACTGGAGGAGCAACCGGAAGCGGAAGTACCGGGGTGGGGGATGGCGATTCCTGGCGGTGGTTCTGCGGGCTGCCCCGGTCCCGTGGAACTCGCCTTAGTCCCTTTGCATGTTTTCGGTTGTCATTTTTAAATAAATGCAGAAAAACCGGGGACTGGCTTCAGTTCATGGCGCCCTCCCCAGGGCACAGCCCCGCTTTGGATGAGGGTTGGGGGGGTGGACTCCTGTTAAGAACCCACAACCCGCCTGGGGATTTCTCACTGGCCAAACCCGGGGTCCCTGGCCAAGTGTAGGACGCGTTCTCCACCCGGGTCTGCGCAGCCAGGTCTGTGGGATGGGAGCAGACTTCAGAGCCGGGTCCTGGCCACGCTTCACCGCTGCGATCTGTCAGGCCGACCGTGCCTGGGACCTGAGCGATCCCTTTCTCCCCCTCCGGCCGCCGCCTCCTGCTCCTGGTCCTTGGGCCGTTGCGTGCAGGTTTGTGTGGACCTGAGAACTGTCCAGTTACTGCGCTGTTGGCAAAGGGCTCCTTGAAGTCGCTGGCAGACTCTCCCTGGAAGGTAAGCGGGTAGTTCCTCCATAGCATGTCCTCGCTGCCTTTCCCGGGATGAGCCCGTCGTCGCCCCGCAGCTAGGGGCCTTAGCTCTTCTACCCGGACTAGTCAACCTCAGCCCCACACCCGAAACAAACCAGTGCACCCTGTGAATCTCCTAAAATTTCCTGTTGCGGTGCCACACAAAAAGGGAAGTTCTAGTAAAACTGGCCTTTCAGTTCTAGGATCACTTGAAAATTAATAAATCCCCCATGAAAGTCCCAGGCTGAGAGCCTTTTCCACTCATAATCTGGGTACTACCTCGAAGGTGACCCGACATTACCTCTTCTCCCAAGAGCCCCACACCTACTCTCCACCATACAGTCTGGGGAGGGGAACTCTTGTAGCCCCAAAAGCTTTTCCCTGTGGTTAAAAGTTATTTCCCTAATATAACCTAAGCCTTAGAATATAAGAAAGGTTTTTATGGTGATGATTCAATAATTAGAAAGGTTCCATGAGAGCCACCTTACACAGCCTCCACCCCCATAGCTTTATACCAGCTTTTTCAAAGTTTGACAAGACTCCTATTCATTCCCTAATGACTGTTAGAATAAAAGGGACATGTTTTCCTATAATCAGGACTGATGGGGGGAAAGGGCAAGAGGAAAGGGAAGAAAAACCAGTGTTTATTGAGGACCTACTTGCCAGGTATGGCTAGGTGCTTCCCTATGTCATCTCACAACAACCCTGTGAGGTAGGTAATGTTGTCCCCACTTTTGCAGATGAGGAAATAGGCTCAGAGAAGTTAAGCATCTTTCCCTAGTTCACACAGTGAGTACGTAGGTCTGTGTGACTCCCAGATTCACCCCTTTTCTCTCTCGCCGCTGTAAGGTGTTACCTGGGGAGACCTGACAACAGAAGGTCTTCATCTAGGCTTGAGAGCTAGCCCAGCACCACCAGGGTGCAGGAAAAAGCAGCGACAGATGGGTTGTCTCAACCTGCTGATTCTTCAGGGGATTAGGGGCCAAATGTTTCCAGGAACAGCCTTCCCAGCTAAGGATTACATATCGAACTAGACCAAGCAATTCTGGTGTCGAGAAAACTCCTGGAAGGTGGTCAGGGCAGAAACTGTTGGGAAAGTTCTTAGCATAAGAGAAGAGAAATGTTTATCTCCTTCATGATTCTCTTGGGGAAAAATCAAAGGCAAACGAACCAGCGGATGTCAAAGTCTGTAATAAACGCCAGTGAGATCACAGGTGTCAGAAAATTTCAACCTGAATTAGAGTTATCCTTGCACTTAAAATTTTCTCCTTTGATGTATGGGGAAGAAGGGTTGCTGGGCAAAGTCAAAGAAAAAGGCAAAATAATTTAACAAGATGGCTCCCAGACAATGTTTAATGCCCCCTTCCTCTGCCCTGCACACCCCCCTCACCCCCCACCCCCATACACAGAGGCACCTTTTCTATTTCCACTGGCTCACACTGCCACCTGCTGGCAGTGCTCAGGGCCTACTGCAGATCGTGATGTTGGAAGAGATTTTTCCTCACCTAGGAACGAGATTCCACCCTTAGGAGTTTATCTTAAAAGGGAAGGGAGGGGAGGATATGTTGCAATCACAAAAGACTCCTGGGTGTATATAGTATCTAAGGGATTTCTTCAATGTAATAGGCGTTAGACTAGGAAGACAAAAACCTGGAAATTTTCCTAGATCTAAAGGGGGAAAGCTGTTTGCCCATTTTCATTTAATCAATTATTTTTTTTTTCAACTAAGTTTTCATTTACAACCCACACACTTTCCATAATCGGCAGGAAACCTCTGTGCCAGTATCTTGCTGCAACGGACAGAACTTTCAGAAGTTAGAACCATGTTCATCTAGCCTCCAGTATATTTTTCACAGAACTCTATAAGGCTTTACCAGATGGTAAATGGTCTGTAAAAATACAAGGTACTGCCCTAACCGGTTTGGCTCAGTGAATAGAGCGTCGGCCTGTGGACTGAAGGGTCCCAGGTTTGATTCCAGTCAAGGGCATGTACCTTGGTTGCAGGCACATCCCCAGTAGGGCCTGTGCAGGAGACAGCTGATCGATGTTTCTCTCTCATTGATGTTTCTAACTCTCTCTCCCTTCCTCTCTGTAAAACATCAATAAAATATATTTAAAAAAAAAATACAAGGTACTTGGTCAAATTAGACTGTGAACTTCTTGAAGACAGTGTCTTTACATCCTCTCTGTGGGTATTCAACTCTGATGCACTGAATCGAACCGAAGGAGTCAATGTTGATATCAGTATAACTTTTATAATAAAAAGTATTTATTGGCTGTTCAAAGGGGAAACTATCCCACTCCCACCAGGCCACCTTCCCCTTTGATGCTCAGTGAGCCAGGCATTTGTTCAAATACAGACCACACCACCCCCTTGGTCCTGCCTCCACCCTGTCATGTTACCTGATTCGGCTGAGGGAAGTGGATGGACAAGTAGTCCCAGGTGGATGCCCTGTCCAGTCTGCAATGATGTCCCCCGCCCGTGAGAATACCGCCACCAATGCCAACCAACACAGTTCCTACAGTCTCAACCAGTGAACAGCTGAGCCCCACTCCTGTGCCCTCTCTCCAACCCAGGGCTGCCGATAGGAGAGAGATTTAAGTCTTTGTTACTGAAGCTAATTTTGAGAGCGATGAATGGGAGCAGGGAGGCATTTAATGGACCACGGAAACCCCACCCGACCAACCCATTCCCAACCTTGGTCTCTGTACCCGATGGTCCAGGGGCTGGAGGTGGGTCACGGCCATGAGGAGAGAGATCAGGGAGGCCAGTCCTAGGGGGGGAAAAAAAATTATGGTATTAGATTACCTAGCTCCTCTGTACCCAACCACCTTAGCAATTCAAATACTAACCCCCACCTTCAGCCATCTAACCCCCAATCTTTCCACTTCTTCATCCTAAAAGACAAGGAGGAAGAGCCATCCTGTCCTGTTCTTGCCTCTGCAGGGATAAGCCCCAGCTTGATGCCCCACGGGGCGGGAGAGAGACGGAGCAATAGGACAGAAGGGCTGTTCCCAGAGGGCAGGAGAGAGCAGCACCCTGACTGCTGTTTCCCTTTGCTTCTGGCCGAACTCAGGGAAGGATCAAGCCCAGCTGGTCCTCTCACCTTAAGGAAACCGCAGGCCTAAAACTAGAAAAAGGTCTATTTACTCACATCGAAACACGGGGCTGAGACAGTTCTTTTTAAACCTAGCCAGGAGAGGAGACCACGTGTGTCATTTCTTACCTTGCTTGGACAGTTACTGCCCTGGACAGTTACCCTGAAAAATGAAATATCCTAAAGGGTCCCCAGGACTACTCCAAACCCGGCCTGCTGCCCCCCCTCCTCCCGCTCCTACCCTCACAGCACCCCCGCTTCCTCAGGCGGGGAAAGTTCACTGGTGGAGAGACATCAATCTTCTCACCTTCGTGACCCTTGACTCTCGTCACCATCTCACCAGGTCCCCTCCCCCAGTAGTCAAGGATCACAGCCATGTCCAAAGCAGACATGTCCATCCTGTTGGCTCTGTTCCCAAACCAGAAAACACTAACGCTCCTTGCAGCCCTGACCGGCCCGGCCCCACCTCCCTCCGCAAGTCCAGCGGCCCGTCAGGATTCAGGCCGAGGCGAGGGGGCCGGGCGGAGGTAGCTGTCTGACATGATGATGTCGCTGGTGAGTTGTTGCTCCAGGAACTCAGAGGTCTCCTCAGCTATCTGGCCTGGGATTCGAAAGTCCACAGCCGCGGCCTCCTGCTTGGGGCTGGGGAGGGGCCGGGCCACCCAGGACTCCGTGGAGCAGCCGGTCCCCTGCAGGAACTGCAGGAAGTTCTCCTCGATGGAGCCCTCGCGGCTGGGCAGCCTCAGCTCCTCCTCGGGGGCCTGCTTGAAGAAGCAGACGAACTGCTTGCTGAGCTCCCCCCGGATCTGCCGGTTGAGACATCCATAGAAGAAGGGGTTGGAAGTGAAGCAGAAGTAGCCGATCCAAGTCACCACGTTCTCCACCTGCCGCGTGGACGTGGGCTGAGCACTCAGGGCCGCGTAGAGGTGGAAAGAAAAGTAGGGCAACCAGCAGAGCAGGAACTGGCCCCCCACGGCCAGGAGGACCACGGCCGCCTTCCCGCCCCCGAACGTCCGGTGGGGGGTGGTCTGGTGGGCCCCCGAGCTGGTGACCATGGTGGAGCGGCTGCTGAGGGACTCCGAGCGCTGCCGGGGCGTCTCCATCCACGTGGGCAGCGGCCCGCGCTGCATGGCGGCCACGCGGGCCACCCGGAACATGCTGCAGTAGACCACCAGGATGAGGAGCAGGGGCAGCAGGAAGTAGAGGATGGCAAAGACCACCACGAACAGCTGGCAGTAGGCACTGCGGCTCCATTGGAGTGAGCAGCCTGGCGGGATGCTGGGCACCCCCTCCTCCAGGGAGACCCTCCCCAGCACGGGCATGGCGGCCATGGCCAAGGCCTTCACCCACACCCCCACCAGCACGGAGGCCACCAGCCCCAGCGTCATGCGCACCTCGTAGCGCATGGGGTGGACCACGTAATAGTAGCGCTCCACGTTGATGGCCGACACGGAGAGGATGGCCAGGCTGACAAAGCACACGCTCAGGAACACGTAGAGGCGGCAGGCGACCTCCCCGAAGAGGTCATGGTCAAAGAGGGCGGAGCTGGAGAGCATGGCCAGGGGCATGAGGGTCAGGGCGGCCAGCAGGTCCACCAGGCAGAGGTGGAAGACGAAGACGAATTTCCGGAGGGCGGGGGTCTTGGCGATGACGGCCATCACAGCGGCATTGCCGGCCACGGCGGTCAGGTCCAGCAGGAGCATGAAGAAGAGGGCCACGGACTCCGAGGCCACGTCCTGCAGCCCCACCTCCGGGGCCCCGCTGGCGGTAGAGGGACCCGGGGGCTGGGGGGCCCTCCCCAGAGTGGAAGAGTTCCCTGATGACTGGGGGATGGGTGAGGACTCCATGGGGCCGGAAGAGGACACCCAGGGCACCTCCTGTCACAGGCCCATCCCCCATCCTAGTCCAGTGACCCTGGGATGGCCGGCCCAGGCCCCGGCTTCCCAGCGCTGTGAGCGGGGGTGGCGGGAGAGGGCACCCCCTGCTGGAGTCTCTCAGACACGCTCCGGGGGCCAGCCTTGGAGGGAGGCGGGCGGCTGTGCGGAGCCCGGGCCGGGAACAGGCTCAGGAGCTCATCTCTCCGCCAGGAGGTCGCTCAGGGTCTGCCTCGGTGACCATGACCTCGGAGGAGACAGACGGGAGGGATGGGGGGGCCTCGCCCACTCAACACTCCACCCGCTGACTGGCCTCCGGCTCCTGCGTCACCACCTTCTTTCCTCTGGGGTCCATACCCTTCTCCCCTCTCTAGGACGCCTTATCCCGAGAGTCTGGATCCGTGCCCGTTCCCAGGGTCCTGCTGGGCGCCGGGACAGTGCCCCGGGTTTAAGGCCGTTCACATACGTTTCCTGATTTCTCGTCTCCTCGCAGCGGCAGGTGCAGTTGGGGGCAGAAAGAACACGAGGTCTGGGAATGGCTAACGCAGTGACTCTTCCGAACTTCGGTTTCCCCGTCAAGGCATCTGCAAAGGAAGGGAATCACACCGACTTCACAACCATGTCGGGGGCCCTGAGGTTCGGTAATAAGGAGACTGATAATGAGCAGCGACGTTCTGAGAGGCTTTCCGCCCGCCAGGCCCTGTGCGGAGCACGCTGTGGAGTGGCTCCTCACGCAGCCCTGTCCGGGAGGGGTCATTCTGATCTCCGTTCCGCCGTCGCTGGCGTGGAGGCCCCGAGAGGGCCGGTGACTTACCGAAGGTCACACAGCGAGCACGCGGCAAGGCCAGGCGCCACGCCGAATTCAGTGGTGCCTCCAGGGCGGCCGGAACGTGTGGGCATTCAGTGAGTAGCTGTCGAATGGGAACCGTCTCTAAAGACGTCTCTCCCTGCTCTGGGGCTGGAAGGAGATCCCCGAAGGGGACAGACGGCTCTAACGGCTCTAATGCACCGTCCCCAAGACAAAGGGCTGATACTGGGGGAGGGTAAGGAGGAACAGCAGGCCCTGGCCGGGCAGCTCAGCTGGTTGGAGCATCGTCCCCATACGCCAAGGTTGCAGGTTTGATCTCCAGTCAGGGCACATATGAGAGTCAACCAGAGAATGCAGAAATGGTGGAGCAACAAACCTCTCTCCGCCCCCCCCCCATTATTCTCCGTCTAAAATCAATACATTAAAAAAAAGAAGAAAACAAAGCTGGGCGTTCAGCCCTTTGAGTCACCCCCAAAGCTGGAAGGGCCGAAGTCACTAGGAAGCTGTCCTCCCCACCCACTCGGTCACTTCCCACGGCCACTGTGTCCCTGCAGGTGGGAGGGGCGCTGTCCCTAACCGCCCAACCCCCGGGGCCCCAGGTCTCTGGTCACTGGAGATGGCCACCGGAGGACCCCAGCCCAAAGCCCTCTTGTTCCGGGACTGTTACCACATCACAGAACTGGGGGGACAAGGGGGAGCAGGGCATCTGGGTAAGGGGGTAGGTGTGAGAGTGGGCAGATGACTTAGATGGTGAAGGTCGGTGAGCATGAAGCAGAGAAGAAACTGGGAGAGGGAGTCTGGGGTTTCAGCATCTCCCCTGCCTCCGGATCCAATGGCAGCTCAGAGCGGTTCCATGTGCTCCTTGCCCTGCTGTGTTTGCACACAATTGGGATAGTTGCCCGATGTAAGTTTCATTGTTTTCCTCCCCAGATGCTATTCCCGCAGTCCAGACCCCTCTGTCTAGTGTGTTGAGTGTGCAGCCGAGAGGCAGCCCGTGGGCTTTCTGTGGACAAGTCACCAGTCGCCCGGGTCCCACTTTCCTCGTCTGTGAAAAGGGAGGACTGGACTAGCCGGCCTCCCAGGTTTCCACATGTGACAACTGTGATGACTGTGAGCTCCTGGGCTACTGAGGGCCTGGTGTTGCTCAGTGTGAAAACACCGTCATTTGGGCCCTGGCCGGTGGCTCAGTGGTTGGAGGATTGTCCCATACATTGGAGGGCCGCAGGTTCGCTTCCAGGTCGGGGCGTGTACGGGAGGCAATTGATCAATGTCTCTCTCTCACATCCATGTTTCTCAATCTCTCTCCCATCCTCTCTAACCTCAATAAAAACATATCCTGGGGTGAGGATTGCAAACATTTAAAAAACACCACCAGCACCATCATTTCTCTGACTGTAGTAAAGAGGACCACCTGGGACAGATGGGTCCCCACCCCCCTGCCTAGTTACAGCCAACACCACCCCTGGTTCGGGGCATCACCGCCAACCTTGCACCCCTTCGACGGCTAGCACACCGTGCAGGCACCAGGTGCTCAGTGCAATCTGTGGATGGAATCAAACTCAAATCGATCGTCTGAATCCCTGCCGCCAGTGCCTCCTCCAAGAAGGCTCAGTGAGCTGTGTGGCAGCCAGGAGCCGCTCCGGGAAAGGGTGCCCTGGGCTCCTGGACGCAAGGCAGCCCCAACTTTGGACAACTGCCTGCAGACGCGCCTGTCCCCGGGGGCCTCCGGAAGCTCACTTCACAGCTAAAATGGCCACAGAGATTCCGAGGCTGCAGAGAAGGGGGAGAGAGGGCCCCGAAGTGGAGACATCAGCTTCTCGTAAGACAGTCTCCCGGGAAAAATGCAGAAGGAAAGATAGAGGGCATCCTTGCCCCTTCCTCCCAGGCCATGACTCCCAGCCCTTCCACCTGGGAGAGGGGCCCAGGAGACGTGGCTCCCAGGCCCTGGGAGCAGAAGGGGGAGAGGCCCCCCGGGGCTGATGGACATCAGGGCTGCCAGCAGGGCCCCCCTGGATCCCGGACGGAGGGAAGCAGACATGGTTGCCACGTGGAGATGGGGGCAGGGGGTGGGCGCCGTGCAGACATAATGGAGCCCTAGACAAGAAAGCTTTGGGCATCTCTCTTTGCCACAGCTCCCTCGGCCTCGCCAGGGTCTCCACACCGACTCCTAAGTCCCAGGGGTCCCCCTCCTGACAGATGGAGCGATGGACCTGCCCGGCATCGCTCGCTGATGCTGATGGGAGCAGCGGGCTGGGGGGCACCGGTGTGGGAGGCAAGCCGGCCTCCGTCCCCTCCTCGCTCACATCATTCTGCCTCTCGGAGGCTCTCATCCACCGCTCCCTTCCCACCCCCGCCCTCACCTCAGGACCTGAGGGCTCTGCCACCCCCGGGGCCGAGGTCTGGGCCTCAAGCAAGGACATGGTCAAGTCACAGACATCCTCATTTCTGGGTGCAAGACGCCCAGCAGTGCCCAGCCCGAGGCCACAGGGCACCGTGGGCTTCACAGGCACCTGTCTCCCAGCCCAGGCTGCCCTTCCCAGCACCGAGCCCGGCCTTCCTTCAGACAGGCACGCCCGCCTGGGCCACCGGCCTTTCCGGGGACCCACAAGCCCTCTCCCTGGCACAGCTGCCCACACCCAGGATGCAGAGTTGCCCATCGGCCTGGATGCCCAGGGACCCATTCCTGGGACGTGGGGACCCGTCTCTGTGACCCGGGGGGAGAGAGATGGGGAACCCTCTCTGCCTGCGGACTGTGGGCACTCCTGTTGGCAGGAGGTCAGCCCCATCTCTAGGCTTCAGAGATGCCCACCCCCAGTGCTGCCTTCGGGATACCTGGGAGCCAGCCCTGGCATGAGGTAGGGTGGGCTGGTCCCCAGGACACAGAGCCGCCTCCCGTCGGAACCCTCGGCACCAGCCCCAGGCCCCCGTCTGCCCCTGTTCCTGGCCTCGTCGGCAACTCCTACCTTTGCCCGGCAGCTCCGGTCCCATGTGATAGCTCCTCCCGGCTGCTCCCAGGCTGCTGCCGCCGGAGCCACTGCAGTGAGCGTGAGAGGCAGCGGCAGGGAGGATGCTCCCAGAGCTTCTGGGTCCTAATGGCCTCCCACTTCCCACCCAGCCCCTCAGAGCCACTCAGGCGCCAGTGCCCCCCGCAGGGCACCCAGGAGCCGGCCCTGCCCTGCCCACCTCTCTCGGGCTGCTGGGGTGGCACCTCAAAAGCCCAGTGGGGCGCGTGATGGGAGGCAGGGGAGACCGCCCCGGGCAGCCAGACGAGGTGAAGAGAGGACCTGACATCGGAAAAGCTGCGTGGAAGGCCTGGTGCCGGCACTGACCGGCGCTGTGACCTTGGGCCTCTCCCACTCTGGGCCTGCGTCTCCTGCCTGGTCAAAGAGATGCAGGAGCGATGCTCCCCGAGGCTCCTGAAGGCTGGGTTGGCGTGGTTCTGAGTAAGCCAGCCAGTCAGTGCAGGTGCCAGCGCAGAGCCCGGCCCAGGCCTGGCAGGGCCCAGGCTCCAGGGGTGGCCCAGGGCTGGCTCCTTCGGAAGCTGCAGAATAGGTGGAGAGGGCAGGGGTCCGCGTGGCGGGCAGCTTGGAGGGGGTGTCAAGGCCTCATCCTAGCTCTGCACTTGCCCCTCACCAGCACGTCATCATGGCTTTCTCGGGATGTATGTTACTTGGTGCGGGGCTGCGAGAGCTGACGGATAGGGGGCCTGACATCCTGGGAGCCCCCTGTGGTGCCGGCCAGCCGCTCCCTGAAGGCAGAGCCAGGCACGCAGGCAGGAGGCTCCGAGGGGTCTAGGTCTGTAGGACTGGAGGGTCCCAGGCCCAGTGAGGAGCCTTTGGAGGCGAGAGGAAGGGGTGTGGCTCCCCCAGCTGTGAAGAAAAGGGTCAGCGCCCCTAATACAGGACTGACCCCCCGGACATCCTCCGGCCAACGCAGCCATGTCTCTGAGGCCGGAGAGGCGAAGAGATTGCTCAGAGCCACACAGGCAGAGCCATGAGCTGAGACAGGAATTGGGCACGATGCCCACTCCGGAGCCCTCTGCCCTCGACATGCCCACCCAGAGCCTCCTCCCGTCTCTAACAGAAAAGGAGGGGAATCGGAATGACTTCTCAGACCAACCCACAGGGCCAGAGAACAACACATCATTCAGGAGCTCAGGGGGGCAAGGCAGCTGCCCAGGCGCCCGGCCAACAGCAAAGCGGCCGCTGTCAGCCCGACCTGCACCGTGATCTCGTGCCCAGCGTGCTTTCTGAGCCCTCCCAAGCGCCAGGCCCTTGCCATGCGGTTCATCCAGTGATCATGCCGGTTCCATGAGCGGCCATTCCTCGCCTTGTTTTCCAGAAGAGTCTCTGAGGTATGAGACTTCCCCCCATCACACGGCGGTAGATGCCAGAGTCAGGATTTGAACCCAGGTCTGTTTGAAGCCAAAGCATTTGCTCCTTCCCCCGCACCCCAGGCCTCTCGGGGGGCCTGACTGAGGCTCCGGCTGAAGCCCTGTGGTGGCCGCTGCTGTCCAGGGCACAGCCTCCGCCAGAACTGGAGATGCCTGAGTGCGGGGAAATCCAATCGAAATGTCCAGTTAAACCCTGCAGACAGCAGAGACTTTCATCAAACCCTGTGCGGTCATTCTGGCAGGATCATCTCGGTGTCAATCAAACCCTTTGGGGTCATGGAAAGCCTGTCACGGATCAGCACCATCTATCTGCCCCCAGAGCCCAGCCGGACTGGCAGGGCCCCTCCCAAGGGTCCAGCAGGACCAGAGTGGACTCAGGCTCATCGGAACAGGATTAGAGGAAGAGCACTGGGCCAGTCAGAACACCTTGCTTCTGACCCGGCCGGTGTGGCTCAGTGGTTGAGTGTTGACCTATGAACATGGAGGTCATGGTTCAATTCTGGACAGGGCACATGATCCCCAGTAGGGGGCAGCTGATCAATGATTCTCTCTCACCACTGATGTTTCCATCCCTCTCTCCCTCTCCCTTCTTCTCTGAAATCAATAGAAATGTATTTAAAAAGTAAACCAACAAACAAAAACACCTTGGTTCTGATCGCGCTCTCCTCTCTCGGTGGGTGGCCATCTGTGTCTTAGTTTTTCTCTCTATAAAATGGTCAAAGGTCTTGGCTCTCCAGCTAATCTAATAGGGGTAGGGACCCTGCAATACAAAGGTGGCCTTGGGGAGGTCGGACAGGCACCCTGGCCAGCGGAAGCCTCCAGGTCCTGAGGTCCCTCCCAGCGAGTCTTCGGGAAGGCAGGTGGCTCCAGGAGGCCACCTAGAGCAGCGGTTCTCAACCTGTGGGTCGCGACCCCTTTGGGGGTTGAACGACCCTTTCACAGGGGTCACCTAAGACCATTGGAAAACACATATATAATTACATATTGTTTTTGTGGTTAATCACTATGCTTTAATTATGTTCAATTTGTAACAATGACATTGGGGTCACCACCACATGAGGAACTGTATTAAAGGGTCGCGGCGTTAGGAAGGTTGAGAACCACTGACCTCGAGCATCCTCTCAGTGGCTCAAGAGTGGGGGTTGGCGGGAGGAAACACTGCCCATCCTGGCCTGGAGGCAGCTGGTGCCGATGAGGATGAGGATGATGGTGATGATGATGGTGACACGAGTCACTGAAGGCCCAATCTGGGGAGGCCCTCCTACTGTATCTCATTAAATTACCTCAATCTGGAGAGCTACTGAAATTACAACCCGCCGCCCCACCCTGCCGGTCCTTTCAGAGCCTCGCCAGGGAGGAGGGGGAAAGACCAAGGCAGAGAACCACCCAGAGACCCATGGCCCGCACTGCATGCATGCCGGGGAGTGGGCGCCCGTCACAGGCCCTGGCGGTGGCAGCCCTCGGCTGAGGTCTGCTCTCTCCACCCCAGACTTCCTCCTGGCCAGCCCTGCCCGCCCCTGCCCAGCAGCACCTCCTAACAGGGCTATGTCCACCCGCCCCACACACCCCACCCTTTCCCGTCTCCTCAGATGAGACCCTGAAGTGGACCAAGTTCATCCTTCCATGTCCATTTGTTCAGTAAATACCTATGGAACGCCCTTTGTGTGCCCACAGCCCCTCCCTCCTGCCCTCGCTAGCTGGAGGCACCCACGCCCCCCTCCGCTCTCTCGGCCACAGCCAGAGCCTGCTCCCAGGAAGGAGGCTGACACATCCGTCCACACTGAGCAGCCTAAGGTGTCCTCTCTCCCAGGAATATTAACAATTTAATATCAACCATTTATCAGGGGGCAGAGGGGAGGAGCGGATGCTGGGATCCCGGCCCCGACTAGGGTTCCTGACGCTCCACGGCCCAGACTGTCTGTTCAAACGCCTCCTCCCAGCCCGGCCTCCCCCCAGGATGCCAACGTCGGCTCCTCCCTGCACCCACTCCATCTCCACGGACACCCAGCCCTCCCGGCCAAGAGCAGGCTCGCAGCTGGGACCGCCCCCCTGCAGCTCAGCCCCCAGCTGCCCAGGCGCCACCCTGCCACCCGCCACCTGGGGGCCGGGCTGAGGAGGAGGGGAGATGAGGAAAGCAGAGGTGAGAGCCGTTTCTTCCCCTTTATTCCCCCACAGTCTGGCCGACACCCCCTGCCAGGAGCCAAGATCCAACGGTATATTCAGCCTGCAGCTGCCACTGGTCATGTGAGCCCATTGCTAGGTTACAGGGACCCAAAAATAAACCTTCCCAACCAGATTAGAAACTGGGGGCCTCAGATGAACCGGGCTCAGAAGAGTGGCAGGAACACCCACCGTGCATGTGCAGGCCAGGCCGCTATGCGACCAGGGAGCCTTCCCCAGCCCGCCCGCCCCCATCCATCAGCGGGGGCTCAAGGCTGGACCCCAAAGAAAAACTCCCAGGCAGCTCCTGGGTCCTTGAGAGCTACAGAGTGGAGAGGCTGCAGCAGAGCGGCCCTTCCTCCCTGGCGGCAGGGGCTGCTGGGACAATGCCCTCTGCCCATCCTCGCATCCAACCGCCCTCCCATCGGCCTGCCCTTCTGAATGCCCACCCCACCTCCAGGCACCATGAGCCACATGTCCTGCGGCCTGCCAGGCGGTCTGTCCCCACCGTCTTCCTCCCCACTCAGCAGGGAGACCTCGCCGTAGGCACAGGACAGGGCACTTTCACATGAGTAGTTTTAAAAGGGTCTTCTGAGTCCGTTTCAGTAACTTTATTTACAGCTGAGGCTCAGAGAGGTTAAGTGACTTTCTCAGAGACACACAGCCGATCGGTGGGGATCAAATCCCAGGTCTATGTTTACTGAGTCTGGGAATGGGACAAGGAAGAGGACAAGAAACGGCAAAGGAAAGGGGGCCCCCGAAACCCTTTCCTGGAGCCTGAGAACTGGGCGCTTTACTTGCTCTGCATTGGAGGTGCTGTCTCCCCCTGCCAGCCCCCTCCTCATCCCCTGAGCCCAGCCACAGCTGACTCAGCCACGTGTCCCATCATGGCCTTGAACTCTGTCACCTCCAGGACCTAGGTGGTGTAATTCCAGGTGCTCAGGCCTGGGGCGGGGGGTGAAATCCCCAGGGAGCTTTACCCCTCTACTTCTGAACCCCAAAATGGAGTCAGGAGAGCAGAGCTGAAAGAGTCATAGGAGGTCAGATACTTATATTACAAATGAATAGGCCCAGAGAGGGAGAGTAACTGGCCCAAGGCTACACAGCTAGAGGGTGAAGCGGATGTGACCAGAATCCAAGCCTCCGGATCCCTACCCATTTTTTGCCTGTCACTAAGGAAGCAGGCTGTTGGGGTGCATCATACTTGACACTGAAGCCCACCTGTAGTCCCCCAACACCTGGTGCCCTTCTTTTTATATATATATATATATATATATATATATATACACACACACACACACATATATATATATACACATATATATATATTTATTGCCTTTCAGAGAGGAAGGGAGAGGGAGAGCAAGAGATAGAAACATCAATGATGAGAGAGGACCATTGATTGGCTGCCTCTTGCACGCCCCCCTCTGGGGGATCGAGCCGGCAACCTGGGCATGTGCCCTTGACTGGAATCGAACCCAGGACCCTTCAGTCCGCAGGCCGACGC